AGTAATACAGCCCTGCAACTAAAGCAACCACTCTAAATGGGACCACATAAAGAACCACAGATGCACAAAGGCAAAACAGTATGAAAAGGCTGGTCGCTCTTGGGTCTCTCCAGCTCAGTAGAGACTGAAACCTCTCCCCTTGTGTTGCTATGTCACCTACAACTGTCTGTATCCTTCCTGCTACACTTCTGATCCTGTCGTACCTCATTCGAACTATATCATGGGGTCTAGAGCTCGGAAATGTGTCAAACTCTTCATCAAGCTCATCCGGGTGAACTGTCTCTGCCCATGAAAGCTTGGTATCCATGTGAGGAGGATGTCTAGGCCTGAACCTGTAGTTCCACATTCCAATGAGGAACATGTAGACAAAAAGAGTTGGAAGTATCAACTCTGGGTAGCAAATCAATATGAGAAAGAGAATGTGGACAAGAACTGTGGTGACCCCGTTCTTCCAATCACATACATCACCAAGCCACCGGCTCATAGAAAACATGGCAGAAAGTAGTGACATAATTCGAAAGAAGTTAGCCTTGCTTCTTCGCATGCTCCACATGTGAGAATCAACATCTAACATGTACTCCACCACTTCTTTCCTAAGAGGTGGCTCAGCTCTGCCAAGTCTTGCTGCTACAATATTCATGGCTTGGTATCGTAGATTATCGACTTGGTTCACTGTGAAAGGATGCAAGTAATGCATTTTTGGTAGCAAAGGGTGCCCATAAACATATATCATGTTAGCAATAGAGAGGGTGGTGAATCGAACTGCTAGTTGGAGCTCCCCCATTTTCTTCACTCCATTAGGCTGTAGAACTAGGAGTGGGTACGAATGTGTGTACATCCGATGAGCTTCAAGTGTTGATAGTCGAATACGTACCTTCCCAATTCGTGAATCTCTTGCTGCACTGCCTGCAGCTGGTGTTTGTTTCTCACCTCCACCTAGGTTGCAGTTATCGAAAACTCCCAATGTTATCACGGTGCAGGGGTCGTAAACTTCCCATGTGTACTGCTCGTTCCATTTAGGATTGAATGTGTCTAGAATTGTTCTGGTGCGAACCCATTTCTGGCCGTACTTGGCTACACAATAAGCATCTGTGCTCCCTCGGCCATCCTTCATCTTCATTGGAAGAAGCCCTTGTGCACTTAGAATGCCCACTTCCAAAATCCCAACAGGCTGCTTCCAAAGCTGCCTTGCTGTTGGCCTTTGATCACTTATATACATGGTTGATTCATCTAGTACATGGTATCCACCTTCAAGACAAACTCTCAGGTGAATTCTACTAGAAAACTTGAGCTCCTTCCTCCTATCTGGCTCCAAGATACCAAAACCATACTTCTCAAGATTGAACCAGCGAGAATGAACTGGCCTGTGGTCAAGCCGCTTCTCAAACATGTCAATTGGCATGCTTATTTTCCCCAACACCTCATCTTTCGAAGGGTGCACTCGATCCTCGACTGTAATAACCAGTTGCTCCTCAAAGGGCTCAGCTGCCACAAAGACTAAATCTTCATTCCATAATGGATTAGCAGTCCGACTTGGGCATATCTTGGTCCTGAGCAATTGGTTTCCAACTTGAGCTTTGACAAAGACTTCTGGGAGGCGGCTTCTGTCATTGGGCAGCACATCCTGAGCTTCAATCACATTCACCCTCAGGTACCATAGTTTTGGTGATACATATACCTTTGATCTGATATTAAAAACACCCTCACCATAGACAGCTGCAGCATCTGAATGCCATGCATCTGGAAAGGCTTCATCAGCCTGTGTTCCCATCCAAACTGCGAGCATGATCTCACCCCTAACCTTCCCTTCTCCGCGGCGGTGCTCCAATCTGTACCACTGAGGAGCCAGTTGGCTGTCAGGTGGAACTCTGGTTGGAACCTCATTCAAGTCAAAAACCACCCTTCCAAGATAATCATCTCTTCCAATCATCTCTTTATCTTTGACAAAAACTTCTACCACTGATGATTGAATTCGATCTTTTGAGAAAGCAAACACCTGGTTCCACTCTGGATTCATTTTCCTCTCAAAATGCCTTGTTCTTCCCTTATAGTTTCCCAGCTTTACTTCCACGTAAGGATCACAGCTTCCGGTAATGGAGCTGGGAGGGAGGTCTTTGGCTTTCACAACACGAACAAAAAGATAAAACATTTGTTCAACAAGGTCATAAGTGCTTGTAAATCTCTCACCAGTCATCCATCCTCTTCCTCCATGTGCTCCTCCATTTGGCCATCTCTCACCAAGCTGTGGGTTGGTGTCTTTCAGTTCATAGTCATCTTGGTGGTTACGATGGGCTTCCAGTTGAATTGGCCGCATGGTTAATGGGAAACCTTGATGTTGTATTTCTACTGATTTGCCTGGTTGCTGCAGAACTTGATGCTTGTGTATGTGATGCGCTGTTTCAGCTTTTACTTCAACTGGCTCTTTGATCTCCTCCTTTGGATCTTGTGCAGGATCACTAATGCTAGACCCAGCTGCTGCAGCAGAAGAATTTGTTTCAATCAAAGCAACCGCAACAACTTTTTTGTTGAATTCTGCTGTGATAACTGTAGTGTTATCTATTACAGGGCCTTTTTCTTTGGGAATAGCAGCCAATACTTTGCTATTAGTTCTTGTGCTTTCTGTATTTGGAGGTGCACAGGGACTAGAAGTTGGGTGTTCTGGCGGTTGTTGAGAATTAGAAGGAGAGTCTTCTAGTAGTTGTGGTGGAGAATATGGAGGAGATTTTGGTTCAGGTTCTAGTGAAGTGTATACTTTTAAACCAATCTCACCCTTGACGGATGAGAAAAACCACTTCTTTTCTAACTGGAATCTTTGATTAACTTTCTCACTTTTCGTGACAATATTTGAGCAAGGAATTCTTACTCTTCCAAGGAAGTTTCGGCCAGGAGTAGGTGATCTCCTCTCATGGTAGACAGAGGCTTCAATGGTTTGGTGATGGAAGTTTCGTGTTTGGTCGATATCAAAGAAAAGTTTGTGGTTCCAAATGGGGTTGAGGTTCTTTAAAACAGTTTTGGTTCGGCTAAGCTTGTTTACAAAATCAACTTCTACAAATGGACTAGCAGAACCTTCACCGTCTTTGGGCATAAGATCATGAGCATCTACCGCTTCTACTACCAGCTTCATTCTCCTTTTGCTTACTTGGCTGCTGTGAGAATCTAGAGGAAGTGACACCCCTCAAGCAATCTGAAATAAGCTTCAAAAGCAAAGAAGTTTTATCTAGGAAGGAACAAAATTAAAAAGAAAAGAAAAAAAAAAAAAGGAATGTTCAGGTTCTTTCTCTTGCACTGTGGTACTATGCTATTTTGGTGAAGCAAAGAATGATTTGACGAAGAAGCTGCCCTGCCTGTCAGTTCTGTTATAAATCGAAAGATGGCCGAAAAAATGGAGGGAAGCCTTAATTTTTTATAAAGTGTGGGAAAGTGAAGCTCTGCCATTCATATAATTCTCAAAGAAGGCAATATTATCTCATTAATTTTGTCCCAAATGCTTCAAGCAAAATTTGTTTTATTTTATATTACTTCTGCATTGCTTGGGAATGATCTCAATTCTGTTTCTTTTTTGTTTGCTGAGAGGTAAGAGCCTCTTAACATGATGAAGAATTAAAGCTAACTTTTGTGTTTTTTATATACAAAACGAATAAAATGTTCTCGAGGCCTCTGTAAGAAACTACATGGCTAGCTTTTCTTTGGCATGAAGAATCAAATCTCAGAGATCCTTTTCTTCTTATGATCAAGGGTATAACTTTCATCTGATTAAAAATTATTCACTTGAATCTGTGTGTGTTGAAGGGACATCCCTTTCTTGGCTAGGCAGCAATCTGAATGTCATGAAGTGTAAAGTAAAGAAAGTTAGGAAAAGAAAGGGCTATGAAAGGCATAGTTGGAGCCTAAGAAAGAAAGAAAAAGCAAAATCTGAAGCTGCATGGTTTATGAGTTGCGATCAAAGATGCTTTGCTTTCTGCTTTCTACTCTTTCTTACTTTTAACTTATTTATTATTGCTGCCTCCCTCATTTTGATTCTGTCCAAGTTTTGGTTTGTCATTATTTTTTCTTTTCTACTTTAACCATTGCATTGTTAGGAAGACCATGTGATTCATTGCTTGACTTCGTTATGTTTTTGAATTTTTGAGTGTTGTTGGATCAATCGTTGTTCTTCTCGTGTTCTGTTATGAATGCAGCAGTGATCTGTCAGTGGTTTTGCCATATCTGACTGTTTGAACTTTAGAACATCATGTTAACAAAATATTTTATTTTGAACTTGTGCTCGTATCGTACATGAAAATATTTTATTTAATTGAGCCAATGATGGGGTGGAACATGAGGCAGATACCTTTGAAGGATTAATATTAATTACATACTTACTGAATCACACGTTCTGCCAAACATTAAATTGACCAACAATTCAAATTCATCTCACAAAATTGTGCTGTGAATTTACAATAGATCAACCTTTCTCTACGTATTTTTCCCTTTTTTTTTTCTTATAATAAAATACAATAAAATAGTAAGGGATTTGTAACTCAAGTAGTTGAGATTGTTTCTGAAAATGCTAAAAGCACTTTCTGACAAGGAAAAGCATTTTCTGATAGTGTAATTCTAAGTCATAAAAGAGCTTTCTTCTAGATGTTTCTTCAAGAATCAATAAATTCCGCGCTTCTAAAAAGGTCTATGAGAGTTGAAGTGTTTCTTACGGAAGCATTCCCAAACGGACGAGGTTACTCATGCACCGAAGTCCTCTCTTCCAACTCCTTTCTTCCAATATGGCTGGGATAAGAAATAAATAAATAAAATAAGAAATAAGAGAGCCAAGTCAAGGCACAACCTAGTACTAGTAACTAGGTTACTGGCAGTTGAAAAACTACAGCTTGGCCACAGGACCTCAAACTGCAAGTAGCCAACGGTCTCTACCACACGCACGCATTCACTAAAATTAGATCCTTAGCATACGCTAATTATAATTATCTCTTTTTGATAATTTATTTGCAAAACAATAGAAAAAGTGTCTCCCACAAGATTGGGCCGGGGCCCTTCTCTCTCTCTCTCTCTCTCTCTCTCTATTCCATCAACTACTACTAGAACCTTCGTCACTGTCTCAAAGACTCCAAATTTAGGGTTTCTCGAGGGTTTATCACACAGCCAAAAACCCTAGAAAAGCCCAACTCCACGAAAGACTTGATCTTTTTGGGTGGTTCGTCCAGCTTTCCCAAATGGTTCGCTCCAATGGCGTCAGGCTTGTCCACTGGCTCGCTCGTCGCTCTTTTGCCTCCAACCCCATCCACAACCCTACATCCTCCGTATGATTCCTCATTATTTCTCCCCTCTTCAATATTAATTGTACTAATTATTGTCATTTCCTATTATTTTTGTTTTAATTTACTGTGAATTTCTTTTCGCTGCTTAACTTTGATCAATGTTTGAATTGCTGCTAGGCATGCGGGAGGATGCTTGGAGGCGGTCATTTCCTATTATTTTTGTTTTAATTTACTGTGAATTTCTTTTCGCTGTTTAACTTTGATCAATGTTTGAATTGCTGCTAGTCATGCGGGAGGATGCTTGGAGGCGGTTATAGGACATTCAAGACTGGGGTTTGCAACAATTCTAGGGTTTTAGGAAATTATACTACTACTAATAATGGTAAGTCAAACACCCGCTTTTCGTTTTTTGAATTCTACTGAGCATTAAATTTCTTATTTCCCCCCCTTTAATGGATTCTTTTGTTTTTGTTTCCTTTTCTCTTCCCTCTCCCCACTCCTTTTTTTGCAGGTTGTAGAAAAAGTTGGTTGCTTGGAGCTCTGAATACCAATTGGTTCGCTGCAAGATCAATTCATGGAACTGGTACCAGACACATATGTTTTCTTTTTCTTTATTTGTTCAAGTATACAAATATATTCTTGTTTATGCATCTGTGCACATGTCAATTATTCGGGATAATGTACTCATTCAAATCCTGTCTGATTATTTTCTTTATTTGTTCAAGTGTATACAAATATATTCTTGTTTATGCATCTGTGCACATGTCAATTATTCGGGATAATGTACTCATTCAAATCCTGTCTGATTTTGACATACCATGAAACTGTGTCTTTGTGTCGTGTAGTTTAAGTTGAAAAACTATGTATTATGAATATTTTTTTGGTATAAATGTTATGTGGAAAAGAACTGGAGTTCAAGGATTTCTATACTTTATTGGGTACTTTCTTGCAATATCATGCCATTATTTGTTCATTTTGATACTGAGAACATAATGGAGTATGTGGAATTTAATTATGGGGCTTGTCCTGCCTTTTATGCACCAGCATCTATGTCCACAAGAGATTACTATGATACACTGGGTGTAAGCAAGAATGCAAATGCATCAGAAATAAAGAAAGCTTATTATGGGGTAGGTTTTCTTTGCTTCACTTCCCCTTTTCTTGATGTACATATTTAAATACTTACTCAAGTCTTATAGCCTGGATAAACGTGTGAAATCTACAACATACCTTGGACTTGCAGTTAAGATTTTGGGATGCGATTCTTATTTTTTACTGTAATGGATATAATACTATAATTTTAAAATGGTTACAACATTTAAAGTGGTTTTCCAGAATTCTTAGAAAGTTTCTATAATGTTAGTTCTGCTGTTGGAAGAATAAGAAGTGTATAATGATAATGCATAATGTCAGTACCTATTCTAGTTAGTCAGTGGAAGTTTAGTCGTTTTTCCAACTGTAATCATTGTTTGTTGTAATCTGAATGTGTATTCTACTTCCCCGGTTCAAGTTTTTTCTGCTCTGAATCATGCTAACTTTGATCCGTCATCTCCCCTATTTATTTTGCAGCTAGCAAAGAAGCTCCATCCAGACACAAATAAAGATGATCCTGATGCAGAAAAGAAGTTTCAAGAAGTTCAAAAGGCCTATGAGGTTATTTTTTCTATTCCCGAAGTTCTTGACTATTACTATTAACATACTAAAAAGCAACTTTGTCAATTTTTGTTGTAGGTTTTGAAAGATGAGGAAAAGCGTCAACAATATGATGAGGTTTCACTTCTGATCTTTATCTTTATGCCTTGTACCTTTTATTATTAAACATATAACTGCTGAATAGCTCCCTGATGAGATGCTTCTCGCTGAGTAGGATGTGGAATAGGTCCTTGGTATTTCGCTCGTAACACCTTGTATTTAATGCTTTTGTAAGTATTACATGACACTACATTGGATGGGGGTAAAATTTGCTTTGGTCAATCAGTTTTGCAACCATGTTGATATTTCTTGTGGTGCTAAGATATAGAAGTTTCAAGTGCTGTTTTGGTCTCTCACTTCTTCTTTTAAAATAATTTTTAATAAGTGGTTGGCAGCAACACTGCTTTTTATTTTTTTTTAATTGGCTTTTGAAAATTGTGATTAGCTGGACTTAGCGGAACCGGTTGGGGCTTCTTTAGGGCTTATACTAATTTTGACTAATTCATTTGGTTTTGTTCTTCAGATCCCTATGTGTATTAAAATGATGCAAATCATTCACATATTTTTTAAAGTGATATAAGAGAATTGTAGGATTCAAATTCTACCCAATTTATAATCCAGATGGAGATTTCCACTATGTTTCTGTCACAACTTGGATAGTTTGGGGTGCTTGGGATCAGAATCTGATTTTGGAGTGGTCAACAAGGGAATTGCGTGGTCATTTTATTGTCATTACTCATGGGCATTTTACTTTCTTTTAATTTTCGTATCTGGCACAATTTAAACTAAGTTATGCAATTCCCACTTTTTTCCTTGCTATGTTATTTTCAACTCCATTCTTATTTAGAGTTTCCCAAGGTTTTAACACATGTTTACCTCTGAAGCCCACATCGGTGCCCATAATCACATTCCTTATCTTCATAGTCTTGAAAGGTCCTTATATTTTGTTAATTTATAATAGCAAACAATAACAATCACACAGCAATTCCAACAAAATGTTTGCTTCTCAACGCAAACCCCCAAAAAAAAAAAAAAAAAAAATTCAAAGTGCTTCTCAATAAACATAGAAGACTCTTATAGCCTAGAAAATCGAAATTGATTGTAGTTCCACATGTTTCATATTGATAAGAAACTACTAAGACAATTTGGACCTTTTAGCTTCATGATCATCTCAACTGGACTCCTGTTGTACTATGGTTTTACGTGTTCCTTATCTAATTCACTTTTGTTGATTTATGCCTGCACTTATGTCATTAAGTACACTTTTTCAGGTTGGCCATGATGCATTTGAAGATCAAGGCAATGGCTTTCCCAATGATTTCAGGAATCCATTTAAAGATATCTTTGATGATAATGTAATGACTCTATCCTTACAGTAAGGTTTGTTTGATTGTTGATATATTTTATCATTGGGAGTTTGGTAAACTAAAACAGTGTCATTTAGAAAAAATTTGGTGTTGCATGCAGTCTAACTATTATGTATATTCTAGCTGTTGTAATTTGTGAACTTACAAAAATTTTCAAGGATGTGTAAGGAGCCTCTTCCATCATATAATCTTTTTCATCTTGATGTGGATGTGGCACTATATATCATTATATTTGGATACACTCCAATCTCAAGCTTAGTTAGTTTAACTTGGAAAATGGTTATGCCAATCACAGAACATCTTGATAGCCCCAGCCCTGGTGGAAACATGTTATGTTTAGTTTGTTTTATTTCACTAATTTGAAGTTTTTTCTATTTAAGCAGTATGTTCCTGCTTCATGGCTCTTTCTTATTTTTCTTTCTCTTTCTTTCTTTCTATTATTTGTAACTGGTTTTGTTAAGGTCGGTGCTACTGCAATTTAGTATGTGATGTGGGGTTGTTGGTTTCTTACTGATGAACTTTCAAACTTCATGATCATAGAAAATCATATCATACTTTCTACAACAAAATGAAGTACCATCTATGTTTCCTAATTTTGGCTCTTGCCTTTTTTTGGATGTTATATTCATTTTGGATTGTATGTGCATGTTATTGGTGGGGTGCTGTTTCCGATGGAGATTAGATCTTCAACATTTTTCGTCAGAATTTTGGTGGTCAAGATATCAAGGTTTTATCCCTCTTCATTTTTATTGTTGATCTGCGTATGTGCTTTAGAATCTGCCTCATGACATGGATTTCTTTTCATAAAATACACAGGTTTCTTTGGAACTTTCCTTTATGGAAGCTGTTCAGGGATGTTCTAAAACTGTGACATTTCCAGCTGCAGTGGCCTGTGAAGCTTGCGGTATGCTGATTCTGCTCATTTCTAAATGTCTTTGCTACTTTTGAATATGCTTTGTGGCATTTACAGTTGTTTTTTGCTCATTAGTATTTGAATGAAACTCTCTTATCTGATTTCTTGTGCTTTTGGATATTTGCAGGTGGAAGTGGTGTTCCTCCTGGCACCAGACCTGAATCATGTAAGCGCTGTAAAGGGTCTGGCATGGTTAGTTTTTCTAAGAACAGAAACCTTATCATTTATTTGATCATTAAGAATATCACATCATCTGCTCTTATTAACCATTGATTTTCTGCATATCCAGACTTACATGCAAACTGGCCCATTTAGGATGCAGACAACTTGTACTCAGTGTGGCGGTACTGGTAAAACTTTCCCGGTATGGTTCACATCTTATCTATAATAACTCATTTTCACTACTCAACGAACAATTTTAATTGTCTATTTTTATTCTCCAGACATGTCGTGTCATCATTTTTTCCCACTTTCTCATGAAGCACGTATTTTGTTCAATAAAGAAGTGGGGGAAGTGAAACAAACATGAAAAACAAACATGAAGTGGGGGAAGATTTCCTATGTGTGAATAATAGCGTGCTTGAAATTGAGTTTCATGAATACTTATAGATGAGTTCCTGTACTTTTTTGCCAAATGTAATTTTAATGTGTTCCTATAGATTCATGTAATGCACGTAGGCACTTTTATGCATAGGTTTGTATGTAATTCCGAATATCAATGAGATTTACTTTGTTAAGAATTGAGTTTCGAAACCCTTCCTTTCTTTTATAGGTAATGTTAAATGGTTATGCTCCGATTTCATGTTGTATTCCTATTGTGTATTAGTTCTAAATGTTTACTGTATAACTCTTTAAATGTTATGAGTTATAATGAAATACGTCACTTTTTGGTTTCAGACACTTTGCAAATCATGCAATGGGAAACGAGTCACAACTGGAATGAAGTCAGTCAAGTTAGATATCATGCCAGGTATTTCCAAGAGTTTTGAGGCATTGGGGTTGCTTCCCAATGGATAATTGTGGTTTTTCCGTTGCCAAGGATCATTATTTTTGCTGAATCGTTATATATGTAGGATTTTATGTACTTGAGTGGGGTTGCCTCTCGTAAAAGGAATTATTTGTCATTTTGTTAAAATAACCATGAATCATAATTTGCAACAAAGAAGTCGAACTACAAATCTTGGAACTATATTTGCTTGTTTCTGTAATGGTGGGTGTAATGACTTTGTTTCCATTTACAGGTGTAGATGACAATGAAACTATAAGGGTGTATAGCAGTGGTGGGGCTGATCCTGACGGAAATCAACCTGGTGATCTTTATGTTACCGTTAAGGTGACCTGCATAAGTTCTAATTGCTGTTGACGTCCTTGTTTTCTTTCTCATTATTGGTACCGTAGTATGTATAATCCTTTTGTCATATAAATGTACATCTTAATTCTGTTTGCAGGTTAGGGAAGACCCAGTTTTCCGTAGGGAAGGTGCTGACATTCATGTAGATGCTGTTCTGAGTATCACTCAGGTACTGCTTAAATCTTTTAGTGCTCAAGAATGTTGTTTATATGCTTTAATGCAAGAAAATCTTGAAGAGTGAGTATTATGAGATAGAGAAATAGAATGATCCATTTTCACTTCGGCAGTATCTAATTACCTCGAGGTCACCAAGCAGCTAAAGTATGAAAACTCTGTTCAGTTTCTATGATTATTTTGTTGTTGATAGATTCTTGAGGGTTATAATGTTTCTAGGCAGACTAAAGGATCTTAAATGATGGTTTTGGGGAGTTCCCTACTGTGCTGTTTCTTTCTTGTAACTTGGGATTTCCCATCTTTCTTGTACTGAAAAATATTCATTTATTCGTATATAGAGGTTTAATAAATGCTTTTTTGGCAGGCAATTCTGGGAGGAACTATTCAGGTCCCAACTCTCACTGGAGATGTTGTGTTGAAGGTTTGTTTTGGAACTCA